GTGGGGAGGGGAGTGGGTGTGGCTTCATAGCACAACAGTTGGGCTGCTTCTCCTTGTGAAGGAGTTGGGGCTGGGAGCTTGATAGAATGGAGGTTTGAAATAGGTGCTGAGCAGACTGGTCTCGAGGAAGCTGAGCAGAAACCCCCCTGCAGGACTGCTAAATAGTCCCTAGTAAAGCCTGGAGGTCAGGAATTCATGGTGCCCAGTCTGGTGGGGTTTGGCCAGCCTTGCCCAAAACTGGCAGTGGGGCACAACAGCTGAGTATATGGCAAAAGTGATCAAATGGTCAGAAAATAAATGAAGAGATGAGGAAGCCATAGATCAGGAGAGAGTGGAGGCCCACTGGAGCTACGACTGTGGTCAGAATGGTTGATTTGGATGAAATCTAGATAACTTGATCAGAAAAACCAATGAAGATCTTTAAAAGAAACAAACTGCATAGAAAACAAAGTCAGAAAAAAAAAAGAAAACAAAGCCAGAAAACAAAGGAAAGATAATTTATAACATATGTGGCAAAGATCTTGATTCTTATCACGTGCAGAAAACTCTTACAAATTAATAAGAGTTTGATGATTAACAAATTTTCAAGAGTGATCGTCAAAGTTATCAGTGATCACAAGCTCACGGCGTGGCTCTGGAGATGCATGGTGGAAGTGCAATGGGGTGGAAGGGCCTTCAGGAAGACAGGGCCCGTTTTTAATAGGTCTTGGTTACTTAATCTTCTGGGACTCTGTTTTCTCATCTAAAATGGGAATAATGATGCCTAATTTTCAGGATCAAATGAAATCATGTCATATTTTTCTCAATAAATAGCGAAGCCTGTTTTTATAATAATCATATTTGATGGGTCTCTATCTGACCCAGTTGTAAACTACTGAAGGACAGGGCAGCTGCCTCCTTGACCCAGACCTTTGCATCACTCTCCTGGTCCCCTGGGGTCTGTCCAGAGAAGAAGCTCCAGAAATTTTTACGAGACCACCTGGAGAGATTGGATAACAGCCACTCCCTTCTGTTGCTCCTTCCAGATGTTGCAGTGGCCGCCCCCTACGGGGGTCCCAGTGGTCGGGGCCAAGTGCTGGTGTTCCTGGGTCAGAGAGAGGGGCTTACCTCACGCCCCTCCCAGGTCCTGGACAGCCCCTTCTCCACAGGCTCTGGCTTTGGCTTCTCCCTGAGAGGTGCCACAGACATCGATGACAATGGATACCCAGGTGCCCTTAACTACCTCCAGCTAGACAACAAGGTCCCTTGGGCATTAGCTGGAGATACGAAAAGACACAGACGGGCCGTGCCTGACCTGGTGCTCCACTCAGAGCTCTGATCTGTCTGTGGGGCTGGGATGCGAGGGCAGGCCAGGTCAAACCTCCAGTAGGGGAAGTGATGTGTGGAACCCCTGGGAAGTTGAGGACCCCATGCCCTTCTCTAATTGCCAATTCTGACCCCTTCCCAATATCTGTAGACCTATTGGTGGGAGCTTATGGGGCTGACAAGGTGGCTGTATACAGGTGAGCACTGGCTCCAGGGGTGGGGCGGGAAGGAGACCCCCCAAGGAGGGGCCACAACGGCAAGCCTCCCCCACCCCACCAGAGCTCTGCCAGTGGTGATGGTCACTGTCCAGCTGCTAGTGAAAGATTCACTGAATCCTGCTGTGAAGGATTGCGTCCTGCCTCAGATCAAGACACCAGTGAGCTGGTGAGGAGACGAAGGGCATGGGCCATGCAGGATCTGGGACCTTGGGGGGCCCTAACCCCTGAGCCCCACTCATGTTTTTGCAGCTTTAAAATCCGAATGTGTGTGGGAGCCACTGGGCACAACATTCCTAAGAAGCTGCGTGAGTGACATGATGAGGACAGGAGGGAAGTAGGCCTGGACTCCCCTGCAGGCTGGCCAGGGAGGCCCCTGACCCTCCCTGCTTGCCCTGTCAGGCCTAAATGCCGAGCTGCAGCTGGACCGGCAGAAGCCCCGCCAGGGCCGGCGGGTGCTACTGCTGAGCTCTAAACAGGCAGGCACCACCCTGCACCTGGACCTGGGCGGGAGGCACAGCCCCATCTGCCACACCACTGATGCCTTCCTCCGAGTACGCCCAGGCTGGGGATGGGCAGGGCTGGGGCATGGGCTGGGCACTGCAGGTTCGGGGTGGCCAGTTGTAGGGTGCACAGTAGCAAGATAGCCTGATTCTTGTCCCCTCCCTAGGACGAGGCCGACTTCCGGGACAAGCTGAGCCCCATAGTGCTCAGCGTCAATGTGTCCCTGCAGTCTGAGGATGGACTGCCCCCTACTCTCATGCTGCATGGAGACACCCACGTTCAGGAGCAGGTGGGGGCATGAGCGGGCAGGCAAGGGAGGCAAAGGGCCCTTGCCAGAAAGTCAGAGTTAGGGTTAAGGTCTGAGGTTACCTCTAATCGCTGATGTCACTCTAAACCCTAATGAAAAGCCTAAAACCTCATCCCCTAAACCTCAAATGTTGATGTCACCTGTAAACTCTGATATAAACTCTGATGTCACCACCTAACCCTGACATTGTCCCAAACCCAGCAATAAACCCAAGCCCTGATGTCATCTCCATATTTCTTTCATTCTCAGACCTTCTAATTCCCTACCTTCACATGCCTTCAACTTACCCACATACCCTGATGTGCCCCCTCTAGACCCGCATCATCCTGGACTGTGGGGAAGATGACCTGTGTGTGCCCCAGCTTCAGCTCACTGCCAGAGTGTGAGGAGACCTCCCAACTCTACCGTCCCCTGGCTGGGTTGACCCAGTGACACCTCCTACCCACCTGGGGTGTCGCACACCCATATGTCGTCCTCAGCCCCTCTCCTGTTCCCAGATCCTGAGCCTGGACCCAGCCTCCTCAGCTTTACTCCTTTCTCCCCACAGGACGGGCTCCCCCCTCCTAATTGGAGCTGATAATGTGCTAGAGCTGCATATGGATGCAGCCAATGAGGGGGAGGGGGCCTACGAGGCTGAGCTGGCCGTGCACCTGCCCCCAGGTGCCCACTACATGCGGGCCCTCAGCAATATGGAGGTGAAGCCCCCACCCCAGGGACATTACCCGGGACCTGGGAGGTGCAGGAGCCTTGAATTTCTTCTCCTATCCTATATCATGCTTTGCTATAAAAGCTGTGATCTTTTTTTTTTTTTTAATTTGGAAGAAGAGTATTTGCCAATGGCACAAAATTCAAGAACTCTATTATAAAACCCAAGCTAAAGATGGCTCAGGAACTAAATGTTGACAGGAACCTCTGTTAACATTTGGTAAATTTCCTTCCAGTCTTTTTTTTCAACATCAGCAGATACATATGTAGGTACATATTTATTTTTTATTTTGTTGATGTAGTTTATAACAATGGGATCACAGTCTATGTAATATTTTGTGTTTTTTACTTAAAAAACTCATAAAGTGCTAGAGTAATACATAGAGTAGATCATGACAGTCCCTTGAACTCAAACCCCAAGAAACGTTCCTCCCCACCCTGGCACAGAAGACTTTTCCAGACTTTCCAATATATATGGGCTGCTCTGTAACCATCTTCTTTCTCGAAACTTCCTCCTTGAAGAGCTTTGAGAGGCTCATCTGTAACCAGAAGAAGGACAATGAGACCAAAGTGGTACTGTGTGAGCTGGGCAACCCCATGAAGAGGAATGTCCGGGTAAGGCCACTGAGCCCTGGCTGCTGGGTCTCCTGCATCGGGGCTGGTGGACAGCAGGGTTTTAGGGGCTGGGTTTGAAGTCAGATAGCTCTGGGCCACAATCCTGGTCCTCACACTCCCTAACTGCGTGTCCTTGGATGAATGACTTTCCCCTCTGAGTGGGCTTCTGAGTAAAATGGAAATAATAATAGTGACTTCGGAGGATGAGGACTGGAGGCCACATTTAGGACAGGGCTGTCCAGAGTGGGCATTTGGGCAGTGACTTAGGCCCTCCTGGTCTCTCAGATAGGAATCACGATGTTGGTGAGTGTGGAGAACCTGGAGGAGGCTGGGGAGCTGGTGTCCTTCCGGCTGCAAATCAGGAGGTACAGTCTGGGGCACACCCCTACCCACCATCCTTCCCTTTATGTGATTCCGATTTAGAAACACTCAGGCACCTTCCATACAGAAGGGTCTTCTGGGATGCCTGCTCTTCAGACTTTCCTATTCCCTTTCTGTCTCCGAGACTTGTTTCTGAGTCTTGGAGCCCTAGAAGTTCTTTTCCAGGTCTTACTTTTGTGTGGCGTGCTGTTTGTGGAGTTAGCGCTTCCTGAGCCCTCTGAAATTCTGGCCCCGCCCCAGAGAGTCCTGATGTTCACTGGGCTGGTGTCCCTGACCTGCTTCTCATCCCCTCCCCTCCAGCAAGAACAGCCAAAATCCAAACAGCGAGGTTGTGCTGCTGGATGTGCCAGTCCGGGCAGATGCCCACGTAGAGCTGCGAGGGTGAGAGGTCGGGAGGGATAAGGGAGATAACAGGCAGAGCCCTAGGTGCAGGGGGCCCTAAGGGAACCCCCACAGGCAAGTCAGGGGATCAAGCTTACTCTGGGGGGGGGGGGGGTTGGGCCCTTGCAGGAACTCCTTTCCAGCTTTCTTGATGGTGGCGGCAGAAGAAGGTGACAGGGAAAACAGCTCGGACACCTGGGGCCCCAAAGTGGAGCACACCTATGAGGTAAGGAGGAGCCTCCGGGCCCCAGGCTGGAGTGAGAGGGTGCCAGGAGCTAAGTCCAGGTGCTGGGCCATCTAACATCCTATTATCACCACCCCCGCCAGCTCCACAACAATGGCCCTGGGACCGTAAGTGGCCTCCACCTCAGCCTCCACCTCAGCCTCCACCTCCCCAGCCAGTCCCAGCCCTCCAACCTGCTCCTGAATATACAGCCTCAGGGGGGGCTTCAGTGCTCCCCACAGACCTCTCCCAACCCTCTCAAGGTAAGAGCTTGGGTGGGAGAAAGAGCTGCAGATGAATTCCCAGCCCATCAACCAGGGTCCCTTTGGGAGGGCTGGGAGGTGGGCAGAGCGTGGGACCTGATGGCTTCTTTGCCTCCTCAGCTGGACTGGGGGATCCCCACCCCCACCCCTTCCTCCATGTACCCAGCCCATCACAACCGGGAGCGCAGGCAGGCATTTCTAAGAGACCCCAAACAACCTTCTAAGCTTCAGGATCCAGTTCTCGTGGTGAGCAGGCTGGGGTCTCCCTTCCTTGGGGCCCAGAAGAAAAGGATGGGAGGCAGAGAAAGGGGTCCAAAGTGTGATGTGGGCCTCTGGTTGGCCACCTTGGTCCAAGTGAATAAGAAGGATTGTGCTGGTCTTGTATCTGGGGCGGGGTGGGGGCACTTGCATTTTTTAAGGTTGCCAGTACATTAAAGACAATGAGTAAATGCCAAAACAGGGTTACAAAAATTCTGGGTATTGAACACTTTATGATGACCCCTTCTTCCCACCCTCTCCCTGGATCTCTGGGACCGTATGAGCAACCCCATTTAGAGATAACGTCTGAAGCTTAAATCTGAAGCCCTTCCTGAGAGGGAGGCCCAGGTTCCCTGACTGCCTCCACCCCGCTGTCCCTCCACCTACCTCCTCGGTGTTGGGTCCTTGGGATGAGGGGATAATGGGTCAGGAGGGACTGGGAACTAATGATGCATCCCCTCAGAGCTGCGACTCGGAGCCCTGTATTGTGGTGCAGTGTGAACTGCAGGAGATGGTGCGCGGGCAGCGAGCCATGGTCACCGTGCTGGCCTTCCTGTGGCTGCCCAGCCTCCGTCAGGTGGGGTGGGGACGTGGAGAGGCGGGGCCTTCTGGAGGTGGATGATAGAGTGTGCTCTGGGGAGAGGTGGGGCATGGTGAGCGGGAAGAGAGTGAGGGCAAGGTTTACTTTGTTTTCTATTATATATATTTTTTGTATTTATTTATTTACTTATTTATTTGAGGGGTCAAGTTTACTTTGGAGGGACGGAATTAGGCCAGGCACAGGGCTCCCCAGGGGAGTAGTGTGGGGCTGGACTCCTACAACCAATAGACCTCATGTGAATGTCTTCCCCGCAACCCCATCCAGAAGCCACTGGATCAGTTTGTGCTGCAGTCGCATGCTTGGTTCAATGTCTCCTCCCTTCCCTATGCCGTGCCTGCCCTCAGCCTGCCCAGTGGGGAAGCTCTGGTGAGTATGGAATGGTGTTTAGGAGATGAGTTCTGCAGGACCCATTGGTCCCCCCACGTGTCCATGCCTAGCAGGATGGGGGCGGAGCCTCCCTGGGTCTGAGGGGTAAGACAGGTAGGTGGCTTGGCTGGGTGTCACCACTTCGCAAGTTTGAGTTTTGAGGAAAGGCAAGTGTCAAGGTGACTGAGGACATGCTCGGGTTTGTCCTCAGGTGCAGACGCAGCTGCTTCAGGCCTTGGAGGAGAGGAACATTCCAATCTGGTGGGTGCTGGTAGGCGTGCTGGGTGGCCTGTTGTTGTTCACACTCCTGGTCCTGGCCATGTGGAAGGTGAGGCATGAAGGGAGGGGGGGTCCTCAGATGGGCCCAGGCTTGGCCCTCCTCACTCTCAAGGGAAGGCAGAGGGAGACACTGGCCCAAGTGGGTGATCCAGGGCCCATCTGATCTACATCTCCACTATTAGAATGTCATTCTCCAGGGGATCTAGGGCACAGACTGGGAGAAGTGGGACCTGGAATGCTACGTCCTTTAGACCCATTCCCCCTGAGAGGAAGAGTCACTAGGGTCCTGCCTTCGGGAACTCCCTGGCTACCGAGGAGGACGGGTTCGCCTCCTCCCTGTTCTGTCCTTTGTCCCAACTGAGGTGGGAGACCCAGGTCTGATCCAGACCCTTCTCCTTGCACCTTGTGAGGCCCTGGTGCGTCTCTCCCTCCTCTGTGCCTGGAGAACAAGTGTGCTCTTCTCAAACTCACTCAGGTGCACAAGCCCTGGGAAGCATGATGCTTTTATGGAAAACCACACATTAGGCTTATAAAAATCAAATACATAACATCGTGCACTTGAGTCATAATCATCAGTATTTAAGAAAATTTCAAAAAAAAAAACACGGGAAAACTTCAGGAAAGGAAAAGCAAAACATTTTTTTTTAATTGTTACATGCATTATCTCTAAATGGGGAAAGGCCTCCATTTGTGCACACAGTGGGGTCCATGTTTTGTGCTGGTTCAGGAGAGGACCTCAAGGCTGGCTGGTTTCTAACATACTTACCTCCTCCACTGCTGCTCTGGGGCCTAAGGATCATCTTTACAACCTGTCCCCGGCCCCTGTACACCCCCAGGTTGGCTTCTTCAAGCGGAATCGGCCACCCCTGGAAGAAGAAGAAGAAGACGATAAAGAGGAGTAGCGGTGCAGCCCACGCTCTGTCCTAGCAGAAAGGCTGGTGTGATGCCTGCTCTGCCCCTTCTTCTCTGAGTGCCCCCCAACTCTGGTCACCCACAGGCTGGAGCTGTTCCATGGAGGCCACCTGATGCCCTCCCTCCCAAGAGAGCTTGGGCCACCCCCTTTCCTGCTGCCTAATAAAGAGGCTGAGCCCCAATTCTCAGTGTGCTGCCTCCTCTTGGGGTCAGAGGAGGAGAGGGAGACCGGGGTGATGTTTGGAGTTGGGACCTGGGGCTGGTAGAAGTATGAGCAGACAGTGTCTCTGCCAGGGCAAAGGTTGCAAATTACTGTCTTTGGGGAGTGTCAGGGAGTAGAAAGTGGGGGTAGAACAAGGGAGAAAGGGTGGCAGAGCCTCTGGGTGAGACTGGAAGGGA